TCTGGTGTTAGGGCGGGGCTCTATATATTATATAGTGAAAAAGCATTAATTCTTTGAAAATCTTCTTCTCTGCTCCTTGGTATTAAATTCAGTAACTAAGTACATAGTTATGATGAGCAAGAGTGCCTCTTCCAAAATTGTGAATTTCATGGCCCCAGGGGCAGGGGTTCTGGTGTTAGGGCAGGGCTATATTGATTATATAGTGAAAATGCATTAATTCATTGAAAATCTTCTTCTCTGCTCCTTGGTATTAGATAAACTAACTAAGTACATAGTTATGATGAGCAAGAGTGCCTCTTCCAAAATTATGAATTTCATGGCACCTGGGTCAGGTGTTCTGGTGTTAGGGTGGGGCTCTATTGATTATATAGTGAAAATGCATTAATTCATTGAAAATCTTCTTCTCTACTCCTGGGTATTATTGAAACAAACTAAGTACATTGTTATGATAAGCAAGGATGCCTCTTCCAAAATTGTGAAATTCATGACCCTGGGGACAGGAGTTCTGGTGCTAGGGCGGGGCTATATAGATCCTATAGTGAAGGTGAATTATTTCTTCGAAAATCTTCTTCTCTGCCCCTGGGTATTGTTTAAACAGACTAAGTACATTGTTATGGTACGCAAGGATGCCTCTTCCAAAATTGTGAATTTTATGACCCCAGGTTTAAGGGTTCTGGTGATGGGTGGGGGGTGGGGGGCTTCTATTGATTATAAAGTGAAAAAGCAAAATTTCTTTGAAAATATTCTATTCTGCTTCTGGTTAAAAAAGCAAAGAAGCTAACTGTATAGTTATGATGAGCAGAAGTGCTTCTTTCAGAGTAGTGAATTTCATGACCCCTGGGTCAGATGTGCTGGTGTGAGGGTGGGGCTCTTGATAATATAGCGAAAATGCTTTAATTCTATTAAATAATCCTGTTTGCTCCTTAGTGTTAAGCAGGTAAACAAAGTGATTAGTTATGATGAGCAAACTTATGGTCCCAGGGTCAGAAGCTCTGGGGTTTTTTTTTTTTGGGGGGGGGGGGGGGCTCTATTGATAATATAGTGAATCTGTAGTAAAAATGCATTATTTCTTTAAAAATCTTCTCCGCACCTGGGCATATCTGAGGCAAACAGAGTAAAAATTTTTATAAGGAAGGGAATTTTTACCAGATTTTTGAACATCTGGACCATTTGGTCAAGTGTTCTGGTCCTGGCCAGGGCTCTATTAGTTTGTATTCTACTGAGAGGAGTTATTCCCCTTTGCCATTTACTTTTGATAATTTATCACTGTAAATAATGTACTTGAAAGGTAAATAGAATAAGAGAATTATGCAAAAACTTTTATTGTATAATACAAAAAGTACTTTCATTGTTTTAATGATCAGATAGACTTGTAAGTAGTAGATAAATAAAAATGAGACAAAAATAACTTGTCTTATTAAATGTTCATCAAAGACCAAGAGAGGCCAATGTAAGAGATTTCAACAAGGGATTAAAATAGTACAGAAGCATTGATAATTTGTTAATATACTGTATGGTGATAATGATAAATGTGGAACAGATTAGAACCTAATTTATGAACTGATCATGAATATTAAGACCAATTATTTTGTTGATAATGATCACCCCTTTTTTTTTGGGCAACAAAGCTTCGCCTTTCAGTTCATTTTATACTCTATGCATAATGCAAATTATTGTACCATAGTCAGGTGACCGTTAAGGCCCTTGGGCCTCTTGTTAAAAGGAGAATGGTTTGTAAAGGGTAGGGGGGGGGGTCTCAACTAACATAGCAGACAGACCCAATGTTACTTGTCAAATATTCAGGTTCTCTACATGAAAATATAAATTTGACTGCAACCATCGACTGTATTAAAGATGCTTCCTCAAATTTTTAACGACAGCACAAATACACTCGGAAAAAGATATGAGATGGGATTTAAAAAAAAAAAAAACTTTGTGAGGTAGAGTAACCACTGCATGAATACCCCCCCCCCTTCAGATATTGACAACAAAGGAGAAATATAAAGATAAAGGAAAACATAAACATTTATGATCTAATTTAAACATTAAGATGTAAAAAAGAATAATAATAATAAAAAAATAAATAAATGAATAATAAAATGTGAAAACAATAATTCATGTGAATTTTTCATTTAGAATTTTTAAAACTAGTATTAGTAGATTGTAATGAATTTTGTTGATAAAATACTTTCTTGAAAATAATTAATCATCACTCAAGCTTTTTAGCACCGTCTCAGCTAAAGAACAATGACCACAGTAATTATCAGTAAATCTCAGCATCGACAGCACATCAACAGTATTTATCAGACTCAACAGTAAAGACGACAGTAATTATCAGTATTTATCAGAAACATGCAACTAAAATTATCAGTAACAACAGGAAGAATAACAGTAAATATCAGTATTTATCAGTAAGAACAGCACGGTATCAGTAATTATCAAACATTATCAGTAAAATTTGGGATTCTCAGCACTTTTTTGGTCCAGTAGTGTTACCCAGTCCCTATCTCTAGATAAGAAAAAAATTAAGAACTGTGTGATATACCCTCAGACAGAGCTGTCTTAATAATCATTCCAATCATTAACTCAGACCAACTAAAAGGAAATTCTATATATATCCCTTGTAAGAACCTGATCATACCATTACATAGAAAATATCTTTGAAGTCTTCTTCTCAAGAAAAAATTAGCAATTATTATTCATATTTATAAAGAAGCATTCTTAGGTATTGTAGAATCAAGTTTAATAAATAATGACCCCTCAGGGGTTGGGGGCACAACAGAAGGTCAAAGTTTTGCAGAAGAATATATAGGAATCATCTTGAAAAAATCTTTTGCTCAAGAACAGCAAAACCATGATTAGTCGATGTATCTGAATGTTGAGATGAAAATCTAAGCGAGATTTTTTTTTCTTCTCGTGAAGAAGAAAATTCCTTTTTTTCAATCACAAACCCTTGAGCTAGGGCTTATACCTGGAACCAAGTTTAATATAAAGTCTAAATCAAATACTCTTTTCTATAAGAGCAAGGGCATGTTAATCATATTGATATTGAAACGTCCCCTTTATTTGTGAAATCAATAAATATTAAATCATGACCCATTTGGGCCAGGTAGGACCAAACTTTTTGGTACATTTTTTTCGTGATATGTAAAAATGACGATATTTATCAAGCTCAATAGTCCATTAGAATAATACATTTTTGGAGCAGAGAAAACACTAACCTCTTAAAAGAAAGGTTGGATTAGGTACCAAGAAAGTTTACTCCCTACGTGTGGTTTGTCATTATCTGGTAAACGGGAAAATCCGCGTACATTTCAAGGTTAAAACAATGGCCTTACATATGAAAGACTTTAGTGAACATTTGACCCCGCTTTTGATTATATTTGTAAACAAGTCATTGTATTGACCATTTTATTAGCAAGGTATTGACTTAAAAGGAGATTTGTTATATCCTTGTATCATCAACTAGAAGCCTGTTTCATTTGTGAAATTATCCTTAGGCAAAATATGCTCTTGCGTATCAACAGAGAGATATAAACCAAATATATATGTTGCAGTGATATGTTGCTCCATTAATATGGTAGGCTGCTTCAGATTGATTACGTTTTTCATACAGTTTAATTGTTATTTTGTCATCAATATCTTTTTCTAGTAAAACATTTGAATACGAAACAGATTTATCAGACACTGTAATGTGTTTTATTTCGAGTCAACGTTGGAATGGATATATATATTTATTAAACTTCTTCGGCCCATTTAAATGTAAAAAGGTTATGGAATTCGAATCGAAGGCCACAACAAAAGACGTCTAATTTAGAAGTGTTTTTAATAAATCTTACTTCAGTAGAATACAAAAAGCAGGTCTGCCAAGAACGATGTACATTTATTCTAACAGATTGAACAAAGAGGAAAAAATATGAATCCACTGTTAGCAAAATGGCCCATTGGCCTCGTGTTTTCAAACAAAACCCATCGTCGTTTTTTTTATTACACACCAATAGACAGACTATTTTTTTTTATATAGTTTTAGGCACTCTATTAATCCCCTTGTGTTTTCAGGGGTCTTTTTATGCATTTCGTCAAACAGGTTCTTGGCTTCGATCAATGTTTGTTATTATCTCCCGTTGGATTATGTAAATTAATGATTGTTTTTAACCATAATTTAATTTATAAAATTATAATTTAATTTTTTTCAATCCTTATTTTTGGTACTAAAATTTTGAAGGTATGATATACAAAACAAACGTTAAACTTTGAATTTTCTGTAAAAGTATTTATCGCAGGACAGCTTCTGTTCTTATGGAATATATGTATTTTACTTTTAATCAGCTGACATGTTTCATAAATTGTGTAATTAAAAATGCGTTATTTCTTATAAAACACTATTATTTGCCAAAAGGTGTATCAAGAGATTTATGAGAATTATTATAAAACTAATATATAGCCGAGCATTATGGACATTGAATCTGAATATTTCTTCAAGTTTTCATTTTTTATTGATGGCCATTTTTATTTTATTTTTTTTTTAATTTAAGATCAGAAAATTGCTGTCTTTTGAGAAGGGTGATCTGCGGTTAATTTCATTCATTTCTCAAACTCACAATTTTCCAGGAATGTCCTCAATCTGATACTGTCATTTTTTTTTGGTATCATTAAAGTTATGCTTGGGAATCAAGCTGGAATATGTGCATCCTAATCAAGATTCTTACGTGTGCTTAGTGGTATTGTGGTATTAATATATTTAATTTTAGAGAAAAATACACTCAATATTAAGAAGGTCAGTGTCTGCGCACAAACAGTAATCTCTTTTCTTCAAGAAAATAGAGAATATTCGAGAGACACAGAATAGCTATTATTAAAATGTATTTACACATAACACCAGCTTGTATGGAATGTTCCATTTTATAACCATAAGAGGGCCATACTTTTTTAATCCTAGAAAACCTAAAAGTAGGACAATAAATAGTCAATTTTAGAGAAATGTTCTTTTCTATTTGCAGCTATTCATGAATGTGATATCTTAAAGTGGAAAAAAGATGACAAGCTTTTCCTTGAAACTCACAACTTTACTGCTATGCTGGAAAAAGTGAATAATAAGACTCATGTAACATTTGTTGGTGTCCCAGGATCAGGGAAAACAGCAACAGCTCGTCATATTGCACTGATGTTGCAGCAGAAAGGGTATGAAGTTGTACCAATCAAAGATATCAAAAAGATAGAGGAATACTGTGATCCAAAAAATCCACAGGTGTTTGCTATTGATGATGTTGTTGGTGTCTTTGGGCTTCAAGAGACTAAATTAAATCTGTTATCTGATTACCAAGATAGAATCATAAACCCTGTAATGTCAAAGACAAAAACTCTCATGACTTGTAGAGAAACCGTGTACAGAAAAGCAATTGAATCGAGTTCACTTTTTACAGATGAAAACAATATTGTCTTATTACATAGTGAAGCTTATGCTTTAAATCACACCGATAAAAAGAATATAATGAAAATGTACAATATAGATATAAATATGTTGTCTTCTGATAGTTTGACATCTGCATCAAAAATGTTTCCTTATCTTTGCAAACTTTTTTCTACCGAAAGAAAATTCAAACGTTATGGATCTGCTTTTTTTGAAAATCCAGTCCCGTGCATTTTGAAGGAACTTGAAGAAATGAAAAAACAAAACAGAATACAGTATGCTTCTTTGGTTTTATGCATGATCAATGACAACAAAATATCAAAGAAAATCCTTGGAGAAATAAAAAATGATGCGGTTGATAAAAAAATGATTGAAATGAAACAAAGTGTTTTGCAAAAATGCAAAGTCAGCGGTACAACAGATAATTTTGAATTTGTTGATGCATTGTCAGAAATGGAGGGGACTTACACAAAACTCTGTGGTACTGATTACAGTTTTGTTCATGACTCAATGCTTGAAATTGTTGCGTATCATTTTGGTTGTAACTTTCCAGATGTGATTTTACAATTTATGAGTAGTAGTTATATTGCTAACTATGTTAAAATTCAAAAATGTCAAACGGAAAAATCAAAAAACGAAAGAAAGCAAGTGAGTGAAAGAGAACAGAAAGAAAAGAATGTTGTAGTCAGTAGTGAAAATAGAATAGAGGTAAAGAATGTTGCAGTTAGTTGTGAAAGTGAACAACAGCATAAGAATGTTGCAGTAGGTGGTGAAAGCATGGACAGAATGGAAACATTTGATCTCTGTGTCAGGTTAAGGGAAGATCTGTTTTCAATGTTAGCAGAGCGTTTGTACAGAGATATAGAAGATATGGAATTGTATGACGTTTTTAGGAATGATACGTTGAAAGAGACTATGATTTGTCAAGAGTTACTTAAGGTATTAATGACAAAGTCTTACACAGAGCTGAAATCTTTATTTCTATCAGTACAGAAAGACGTTTCTAAGGTCGCGAGAAATGGAGAACGTGTGAAGAATGAGAATGAGGAGAGGGGGAAGATTATTAGAGACCCGCGCAGGCAGGAGGTGCTAGCTGATGAGAAACATATAAGAGTTATCAGTTGGGTTGTTTACTATGGACATAGTCGGATTCTACAGTATATTTTAGATCAAACAGAACTACACAATGAAACAAAGACTGAATTATTTAAGAATTGCTTTAATGCTAATTTCACCTATTTCACAAATGATGGGGAAAACAATCAGTGTGTACCAGAAATGTACCACTTGTTAGTACTGAGTTGTTACAGTGGTGATTTAGAGACTGTTAAAATATTTATCAAATATTTCAATACAAATGCAATGAACATAAACATGTTAAATTTATACTTTGATAATATATTTATTGACACATCACTTACTGCAGCATGTGCATGTGGATATTTGAGTATAGTAAAAGAACTGCTACAGGCAGGGGCTGATGTCAATATACAAGGTCAGAATGATACGCCACTAACAGCAGCATGTGGGGCTGGACATAATACTATCTTGAAGGAGCTACTAGAGGCAGGAGCTGATATCAACCTACAAGGTAAATATCATTCACCTCTGACAGCAGCTTGTGAGGGTGGGCATATGAGTGTAATGGAAAAGCTATTGCAGAAAGGTGTGGATGTCAATTTACAGGGTTTCTATGATACACCACTGACAGCAGCATGCTTTAATGGACATTTGAGTGTAGTGAAGAAGCTGCTAGAGGCAGAGGCTGATGTCAATCTACAAGGTATATATCATTCACCACTGATAGCTGCATGTAAGAGTGGACATATGAGTGTAGTGAAAGAGCTGATAAAGGCTAATGTTGATGTCAATCTAAAGGGAGAGGATGATACACCACTGATAGCAGCATGTAAGGGTGGACATATAGGTGTAGTGAAGGAACTGCTAGGGTCGGGAGCTGATGTCAATCCACAAGATATATTTGAAACACCACTCACAGCAGCATGTGAAGGTGGACATTTGGATTTAGTTAAAGAACTGCTAAAGACTAGAGCTTATGTCAATCCACAAGGTACATATGACACACCACTGACAGCAGCATGTAGAGAGGGGCATACAAGTGTAGTGAAGGAACTGCTACATAATGGGGCTGATGTCAATCTGCGAAGTGAGAATGATACACCACTCAGAGCGGCATGTGCAACTGGAGAGATGCATCTTGTAAAAGAATTGCTGGAGGCGGGAGCGGTTGTCAATCCGGAAGGTATATTTGAAACACCACTGATAGCAGCATGTGAAGGTGGACATGAGGATATTGTGAAGGTCCTGCTAGAGGCAGGAGCTAGTGTAAATATGCTGGACTCAGAAGGAAGAACTCCTTTATATGCATTTGTTTTCAATAATACTGAAAGGCTCATAGCTGTTGTACAGACGCTGCATAATTTTGGTGCAGACGCAACTATCAGTGGAAATGAAGGTTTTTCAGCATTGTACATTGCATTAGTTCAAATCAAAATTGATGTTGTAAAACATTTGTTACAAACTGAAACTGGAACTCAGTTGAATACACTGAAGCGACATTTATTTGAATGTTTGGTAAACATAAGGCACAGTGACGTGATAACTGATAGTAAAGATGATGTAGTGAGGACGCAGAAACGTGTGTGGCATATGGATACATGGGGGGATTTTTATCAAACAGTTGGAAATGGAAAATGTGACATACTGAAACATATCTTATGTTTGGGTATGGATTCCAATCAGTGTATTCAGCTGAGCTCTAATGATATTAAATCTAATGAGAGACCTTTGCTATTTATTCTTATTGATGAGGGAGATATCGATGATAGAGAAGAGAAAGTAAGGATCCTTCTGGAGGCAGGGGTGGATGTCAATATCAGGGTTGAGTATAGAGTGTATGACACTGCTTTAGACAGAGAACATGTGTCTGGTGAGTCTATGGATACGTCTAGTGATAAGTCTAGTGATGACGAACAGGACGAAGGAACAGAGTCTGTGTGTATGAAGTCGATTGATGAGGAAGAGAAACAAGACTTTGATACAAAGTCTGTATTGAAAAGGGAGAAAGTGTCTGTTCTGGAGAGGACAAGACGAATGATAAATGAGTTCAGAAAGGACTGGTGGCAGGAAAGTAAGGTTTCTGAGTACAAGAGAGTGCTAATTGAGATAAAGAAACGTATAAGACGATACTCTGTATGACAAGAGTGTAAAATGTTAAATACACTGAACATATATGTACTTTAAAATATAACATTGGTGTTATATATGCATTGATCTGGAGTTCTATATTGTAAAGATTACATATGTATCTCCAACAAAAGTTAAACAATGTTTACAATTAATTCTGACAGCTGCTAATTGGCAGCCCGTAGTTGTTTATATTGAAAGCACTGACTCTGCTTTATATTTGAAAGTCTGTGAAACTCTTGTGTTTGTAGCTTTATTAATGTTTATGTATTATCAGTTAATAAAATGTAGCCAGACGTATTTCTATTGATATTCGACAATTGGAATCTTTCATGAAATATGGGGATAACGAACAGTTATCAGACACAAAAGTCCGTTGAAATAATACACATTTGGAGAAGAGCAAACACGGACCTCTTAAAACATCAGAGGTGGAATCAGGTACCATGGAGGAGTAAGCATCCTCTGTCGACTGCTCACACCAGCAGTGTGCCCATTGTCATGATCAGGCAAACGGAAAAATCCGTAGAAAAATCAGTGATTAAATAATGGCATTACAATTAGCATGAAAATGTCAATCGGCATTCGACTTATTGATAGATTGTACGAGGGTCTTTCATTTACATACAATATATCATAATAAATGTAGAAGTATTCAATTTTATTTTTTCACACGCGGCTAGGATAAGGCTGTCCGTAAAATATCAAACTGTTCCAACTGTAGTAACTTCTCTGAACTACATAGATATGACGTCATAATAACATATGACGTCAAGTCACTGCATACTTGAGCTGACATGACGGGGAAATTGTCATAACTTTTACATTACTTTCACATGACATGTAAAGATTTTTTAGCGTTGTTGTTTGATTCAAGCGTCAGGAATGTTCTTTAAGCTTAAGTGTGCTGTTATGATGTTGAACATTTGCAATTTGATATCGTTATTCCTTTAACTTGTCCGATATACATATATTTAAATAATAACGAAAAATCGACTGTGACACGCTCCCCCTTACACGTCCGTGGACAGAGTTAGAATTTATAAATCGTGTATATATTTGTCGGACACAAGTCATTAATAAGGATAAATTGAAGATATTCAGTGTGAATCTACTAGAGAGGTATGTTCTCTAACTTAACTTTGCTGGGGGATTTTATGTAATTTATCCTATTTTGTATAAATTGCGATAAAGAGTGGAAAATACCCCTTTTTATATGGGTAAGTTGATTTTCTCGTTGAATATTTTCTAAAGAAATAAAATTCAGACTTGCCCCCAGCACTTTATATGTACCAAAGATCACGATAAATTGACCTATGTGACAAATTTTTCTCAATAATGTTGTTTTGCACTTGTGCCGATGCGATTTTTTGTGCAACATTTATGAATTTATAAGTGTCCGTCACGTGATCAACAAAGTCATGTGACATCACAAAAATGCATATTATAATACCTGATTACACTCTCATCGCAAGTTGACTGCAAATTCATACATAGATTACAAACTGAAATTAAAACTGAAATTAAAATCTCGCTCAAAATAAAAGGTATATTTTAATGCATATTAAGCCTTTGGACAGCCTTAACATAGCTGCGCAGTTAAAAGGTTCTATTATTGTTTGTTTGTATGTTGTTAAACGTCCCTCTCGAGAATTTTTCACTCATATGGAGACACCACAACTTGCCGGTGGAGAGCTGCAAATTTTGTCCTATGCTCGGCACTTACGACCATTGAGCAGTGAGGGATCTTTATCGTGCCAGCACCTACTGCGACACGGGACCTCGGTTTATACGGTCTCATCCGAAGGCTCGGTCTCCACGTCCCACAGTGGGATTCGAACCCGCGACGTAAGGATCAATTCCTTACATCGCGACTCTAGAGCAGACGCTCTAACCACTGCGCCACGCGGGCGAAAAAAGGTTCTATTAAAGAGCTTCTTATGACAGAAAATCCCATGATTTTTCCTATTATCCTAGCAAAGAAATTCACTTTTAAAGTAAGCATGGTCACACTGAGCTGAAAACTGTTTAAAAACGATCTCTGCCAAGAATATGATCATGGAACCGTATGTAAAAAATGTGCTCCTTTACATAAATTGCTGGAGAACTCAAATTAAGAATATGATCTTTATATGTTGAAAGATTAATCTTTAACGCTTTATGGTTTTCAGGTTGATTTAGAGATGCAAAACGAAAAAAGAAAGTTAAAATAAGATGGTCAAACTTGTCGAAATCTGTAGGGACACCGAAAAAATATCGAAGTTGTGTGCAACAATATCTGAAAATGCCAGATTTACACTGAAAGACATTGCTTAGACGCTAAACATATCATCATCACAACAGTTTATAGAATTCCGACAAAGGAAATAACCCTATCAGAGAGGTGCCTAATTTTCTTACAAATGCCTATAAGAGAAAACACGCCTTAAATGTGCAAACGATCTATATAAAAACAAACATTTTTACAAATTACAAGAATTGATTGCGTGATGGATGACAAAACATGGGTACAATTTGTATAGCCGAAGAAAAAGATCAATACTAGTAATAAAATGTTGAATGAAAAAAAATGTATCGTCTTATTATTGTAAAGAGAAAAATAATTGCTCAAAACGCGTTTTTCTAGTTTGCATTTTTTTCAAGGGGTCTAGTAGAACATGTAATACACCCAAATGAACAACCATCATTGGAAACTTTTATGTTCAATCTGTACTAAGGGAAATTAAACATATTCTCTAATATGTAAAGGAGGTCCAAGTACCTGTCCGAAGAGTATTTTGTCTGTACCTGACAACACTGTTGCAAATAATCATAGGAAAATAAATGAAATTTTGAAGAGAAGAAAGTTAACTTTGCCATCCACAACCATTTTGAGATTTTTTTTTATTCCAAAAACGCATAAAACAATCAAAGGGAGATTATTCAATAGCAGATATATCACTGGAAGTGATATGTAACAGTCTTTTGGGCATCCCTAAATATGAGGTTTTCTGATCATGAGTACAAAGACCTAAGACATGTGTTAATGGTAAAAGGGAACACTTCGAGGGATTGAGTGGTAGGGCGCTCGCTTCGTGATCGGAGGCTTGGGTTCGATTCTCGTTCGCCGCGTCGCTTCAAACCTAAGACGTAAACATAGGTAATGACTGTTCCTTCGCCAAGCGCCCGGCACTAGAAAATAAAGTCACGGGTCTTTCGGATGAGACCTTAAAAAACGAGGACTCGTGTCACGGTAGGCGTTGGCACAATAAAGAACCCTCACTGCTCAATGGCCCTGAGTGCCGAATATAGGTCTAAATTTAAAGCTCTTCACCGGCATACGTTGACGTCTCTATATGAGTGAAAAATTCTCGAGTGGGACGTTAAATAGCATACAATCAATCAATCAATTTTGATTGCAAATATTAAGAATTTTTATTTTTATATGACCTTTGCATTATTTATTGAACGACGCTCGTATTTGCTTACAAGGTCATTGTATCGACCATAGAACTTAAGACTGATGATATCTTTGTTTCATCAACTTGTTTGAAAATAGCTTGCCTCGTTTTTGAAATTATTCGTACGTGAAACATGCTCTTGCGTGTAAAATAATCTCGGAGATATGTACCCCAAGTGTAGGTGAAAAGGGTCTATTGCTACATACGTAAGGGAAGTTAACGATAGGAACATTGAAACCATAGTTTATCATAAAGTTTTATTCTTAGGTTACATTTAACGTCTTTTTCTTGTAAAATATCCAAATATGAAACAGATGTGTCAGACACTGTGGTATCTTTTATCTCAAGCTCACCGGAATGTATCGAGTCGACATATGAAAGGAAGTAACCTTTTTTTATTGATAATAAGTGGTCGATATATCTAAATGTCGATTTGAAGGCCACAGCCCAGATAGCATGCATACGTTGGGACAACGTTGGCCCAACGTAACACACTTTGTTGGCCCAACGTTGGCAAACAACGTTGGCGCAATGTCTAAGTGCACTGTGGCCCTTTGTTGGCCCAACATGTTGGCGTAATGTTGACCCAACATAGTAATTAATGTAATCATGTAATTGTAGGGCCAACATTGGGCCAACGATGTATGTCGCATTGTAACCGAAAGACCAACGTTGGGTCAACGTTGTAAAAGTATATTTATATGCCTATATAGTAATTGTATCGCCAACATTGGACCAACGTTTGACTCGCATTCAACTTACATGACAAATGATTGGCTTTAATCATAGAAGTACAACACAATTCCTGTATTTGTTTTAATTTCCATCATTTTCAATACAATGAATTTAATCAATTTTAGAAAATTAACTTGTTCCTCTTACTAATGTTTTAGAGTATTCATGTCACTGTCGTTAAGGAATCTTAATTATTGAATGCAATCAGCCGGGGATGGGATAGTTCAAATGTTTTTTTCAAGTATATATTCCACATCACTATTAATAATAATCACTTCTAAATTTCTCTGGTGTAGGAATCCACTATTTCAAACTTGTAGAATATAGAATGTAAATTAATTGTGCATTTTCTCCTGTCCATATCACATTTGAATTGTCCACTCCTTTTTCCTGCCCATGCAATTGTTGTTTCTTTATGCTAGAATCCATGTCTTTCAGGAGAATACTTTTGCATTTAAGGCCATATGACACAGAGGATTTTTTCTCCACCAGTTGCTATGAATGTTAAAAATACCATATCATTAAATAAAGTATTTTGCTTACAAACAGATAACTAGTAAATATACATGAACATTTTGAAACAAGTTTTTTTTTTAAATACCCATCAAATAATTTTCACATTATGCGTAAGTTAAGTTTTAACAAAGCATGAAATTCTATCAATAACACATAACAAATTTACTTACAATTCAAGGGCTAAAATAATCTATTTTCTCTTTTCTGAGTAACAAGGTATGCATTGTTCCAGTGCGGGCGTGATAAGAAAGTGACCGCTCTGAGTTTGTAAGATCTGATTAAGACGCTCGTCTCCTAGGAAACCGGCCAGTCACCTGCTGAGCAAGTGAATTTCACCACTGACCTAATTAAATGGAGTTCTTAAACACAACACTTTAGTTCCAAAATGCTAACTATAGAATCTACATCTCTATTTATTGTGTGGAATTAAACTTCTACTTGCAGTTTTCGTACATTACTATAATTTTTATTGATGATTTTATTGCTATTTTTCATAACTTGGGTTCTGGTAGAATTTTTTCATTTCACTTTAAACCAAAATTCATTGAGTAATT